ATAATAATAATGTAATTAACATCAAATTTCCATTAGCAACTGGAAACTAGGGCATCCGTTAATCCAGCCTTCCTAATGGGGCAACTGGTGCTGGCTGTGGTCACAGTGACGCTCCCTGGGTGGGCGGGACTTGAACCCAGAACCAATGTCCCCAGGCCAATGCCCTAACCAGGCAGAATCATGAATGGTAAGTGACTCTAATCAGTCCGCGGTCTGCGGAAAGGTTTGCTTTGAGCGGGGATGGGGAGGTGGATGACCCAAAGGCCACAAAGTTCGATAACCACTGCTCTAAGACATGCCTTTGATGCAAAATAGCACTGATTCAGTTTTCCAGATTTTAAGCCGCTGCACTATTTCTTCCATTCAAAAATATGTATGTTTAAATTAGAAGTGGAAGATTAGTAGAATCGAAAATCCAGGGTAACTAGTTTCAGCAATTGTTTATTTACAGCTTGCTAAATCAAAGAAAGGGAGAGAAATGAAAAAAAACCATATGATTTGAACCTAGTAGCCTCCAATTCAACCTTTTGTCATATATAATTAGCCTTCATTTACAAGCCTTCAGCTGGCTTTCAATCCATGTGAAAATGCTCGCATACAAGCCAAATGGAATTCCTTATGAGATTTTCATGACTTTCAAATTTTTTACTGAAATTCAGCTAAAGCACATTCTCTTCAATTTTGAACATTATGATTACATGCAATTTTTTCCCATTTTTCTGGTAGACATTTTTCCAATTCTCCAAGGCTTTTCAGAAAAAAAAATCAGAGTGTTTCAATGCATTAAAAAAATTCCATAACGCCTGAGAGTGTACATCATTCAGATTTTGTAGTATGTACACAGTATCCAGTTTTTCCAGGATCCTCTCAGCTGAGGTTTTTCAGCAGCTGTATTTATGCAAGCTTCATTAGTTCCTAATTGTCCATATATTTCCTCCTTACTTATCTTGTTAAAGACCAATTACTAAAGTATTTCAATAGCTTAGCCATTTGTGCTCAGCACATTGATAGCTGCTTTATAAATATCTAAGTAATTTTAAAATTAGCATCAATTTCATTTCGTTCCTAATGTATTAATGGGCTTGCTTTCTCTCCATTAATTATTATGTGTTATCTCTATGCCTTTTGCTCCTAGACTCCCATTTAAGTTTGAAGCCATTTGTGCCGGGACTGCACATAAAAAGACACAGTCACTGCCCACAAGGAATTCACAGTCTACCATAACATAGACCAGTGTTTCCACTCCCACTTATATTTGTAAAAATCCTTTTTATTCTCTTTAATCCACACTCCACTTGGCTATCATGTAATAATTTTGCTGTTGTGATATACTTTTTATTCTGCAAGCCTTAACTGTCTTTGTTTATCCTTGGTTGCTCTCTCTCTCTCTCTCTATTTTCATGACAAACTCATTTGTTTTTTTAAACTTTACATCATTGGCAATCTCACAAAAAAAATGGCTGCTTTTTGGGTTTTGTATTTTCCTTTTCAGATGAATTATAGATGATTGTGCACCACAATGATGGCTACTTTTAGTCTGTCAAAGATATCTTTCAAACTCATACACTTTAAAATTATTTTATGCTTAGCCGTCTCACCCCACCATTGCATCTCTTCGCCCTCATCATACTTCTGGTATTAGAAGGCCCCAATTTAGGAAAACGGCCCAGCACATGTTCAAACCCATCCAGTTTCAGCAAAGCATTTCTGGTCATGTATAACTTTTAGGATGTGCTTAATTTCTTTGCTGAGCAGAGAACTTCATCTGCAGGAGTAGTTATTTTTTGTCAAAGTCCAAACTTCATAGTCAAGGTACAGACTCCAGAGAAACATTTTTCTCCGTAAGTACCCTTGTTCAACAAACACATACAATATTGTGTAAAATACCCAGGGCCTATTGGTTATATTTTTAGAGCATTAAATGAAAAATTAAATCAAACCATGTATAACCAAAAAATAAACTCTAAGAAAGATGTAATAAATTACATCAGAAACTTTAAGAAAGTTTTAAGAAAGTACATAGATAAAATGTCAAATAGATGAAAAATTAGTATTAAAACACTTTCAGAAAACTGTTTTAAGCTTTTACTTTGTTTTGAGTTTGCAAAATAACATTATCATAGGCACATAACCCCCCAGCCCTGATGGCCCCTCTCCCAGCTTAGATTTACCAGATTTCAAGTTACCCAAAAAAGAACATTGATGGGGTGGGAGGCCTGAAGGGGAAGGTACATGGGATGTGCTGCCATGGTACGTGTACTAGGAAGTGGAATTTGGGAGGGGAGTTGCTGGTAGGAGTACCCGCAGCCTCTCTTGAGGTAGGGAGTAATGCTGTTCCCTGTCATGGTGGAAGACACAGCACCAGCCCCTCCTTGCAGTCCTCTCTCCTTCTCCAGAGCAAAGAGTTGGGGCCTGGTGCTTCACGCCTCTTGCCTGGGCTCTGAGTCCCTGCGGCAGGGCAGACACCCCAGCCAAGATGAGCTTGGCATTTCTGCTTTCGTGATAATCCAGGCAGCATAGCTCTCTGCCCAGAGAGACTCCCATCACACCGCTAGTGCCTGCTTGTTCACCCCTCAGCCCACTTGCCTCATTCCTGCACTGTAGGGAGTAGAATGAGCAAATGGGGTGGTAGCTGCACAAACAGCTGCCCATGGACACTGCACCCCACAGCCTGGCCCAGCTGCTCACTCCTTGGTGGAATAGGGATGGGAAACTTCTGCTAGGGAGGAGGCATGGCTCCACATGGCTTAGCATGGCTTCAGCCCCATCCCCTTTTGCGGTCCACTCAAAAGTATTTGGGTGTCTGGATTTGGCTCCTGGTCCGCCTATTGACTATCTCTGATCTACTGAATTGGAAACTAAGGAAGGAGTCTGGCGGGACCTTGTCTCTCTAAAAGTGACAGCGACAGCAGCTCCTCAACCCAAACAGGAAAAAGAGGCAGGGAAGGCAAAACTGGTCTAAAAATATTTCTTTGCATATTTTTTTCTTTTTAAATATACTGGAATGGAGAGTCGGGGATAAGTAACCTACAAGACTTCATGTTCAAATCTATGTTTTTACTGCAAAAAATAAGTGCATTTTTGCACTGCAATGCTAATTTGAGGTAGCTAATTTGATTGTCAATGGATTAGCAGTGCTAATTTGATTGTCAATGGACAATCCAAATGCAGACAAGGGATAGGTAGTTTTTAACTTCAATGCAAATAGTAGAGGTAAATGCATATATACTGGACACAGAAAAAACAACAACAGAGGGCTGCTATTAGAAGCACATAGCCTCCTGCCTTGATAGTTTTCATGTTGATGGTGGAATGGTATTTTTATAGGGATGCAATGTGATCTAGAGGAAAAAACAATGGCCTAGAATTTAGAATTCGGGTTCTAAGCCTGGCTCTACCAAAAGCCTTTTGGGCAACCCAGACCAATTCATGTCAACTTTTTGTTCCTCACTAAAATGGGGATACTGATTCTTACCTCCCTTTGTAAAGCAATTTGAGATCTACTACCAAAGAGCAACGTACCATTTTCTGTCTTTGCAATCATAATTTTAAAATAAATAAAGGAGTTTTTATAAATTTGCTCTCTCTCTTGCACACATTTAAACATATATGTAAGTATGTATTAATGAATGTGTGCTTCTGTGTATATACTCGCATACAGACAGATAAAAGCAATACCCACATCAGTTCTGAGCCTACAGTGTCCAGAGTTCATATTCATATTCTCCAGTGCCTGGAATTACCAAGTTGCCTTGGTCAGCTCTGTTCATATTACATAGGAATGAAGGAAACTCGGACAGGGTGGGTATGAAGAAGCTGTATGAACCTACTCCACTCTAGCTGCTCTGTAACCTGCCTCCATTTTCACAGGATCTCTTGCTGGTAATAGGAACAGAAGTACTGTGAAGATGCTAATTTTTCAAATTGAAACATGTCAGAATATTTGATCTCCTGTGTCAGTTAATATTCTTTACCCCTTGAATTGTAGCCATATGATATTGCAGTGTTGATGTTATCATTTGAATGATCTATAATACGTTAGTCATATCCATTCAATCTTTTTCTGAGGGGGCACGGGAGCTGTGGTGGTACTCAGAGAATCTATTTCTATCTGCCTGCAAACTCATACAACAACTGCTCTGATGTTGCTAGTAATTGTGGCTTTATAAAATTTGGCAGAGATCTGAGGTAATTTCTATAAGTTTTTAAGAACAGTCAGCTTAGTGCCTTTTATTTTGCTCATATACAGTTTATTATTTCTATTCACTAGTTGCATTTGGTGTTTTGATTAACTTCCACAAGCTTTGATGTATTAAAAAATTGGTCCTGTGGTATCCCTACACATGTGTTGTTGCCACACCTGTGAACAATGTCCTGAGTTAAATAAAGCTAAAAGGTGTGAATTTAATTGTTTCTTTTTATCTCTTAAACAAGCACAAACATGAAGAAATGACAGATAAAAACAGGCTTGTAGAACCTGATTCAAAGTCCACTGAAAGCAATGGTAGCCTTTCCACTGACTTCAATTGATTTTATATCTAGTCCACAGTAACAGGGATAATGGTTCACAAGAGTATGCTGAATTTTGATTCTGAAATCCTCCCTCCGCCAAAGGAAAGGTTGAGCTAACAGGTCAATTTTTCAAAAGCAAGTAGTGATTTTGAATAGGTCACTGTTTGGGTGCCTAATTTTAAGGGTGCCTTAAATGGGTCTGATGTTCAGTTAGCACTAAGCACTCACCTTCTGAAAATTAGTACCCTTTAATGTTTCTCAGGTTGGATACCCATAAATTGAAGCACTCCAAGTCACTAATTACTTTGAAAATCTTAATAATTTACAACAAGGTTATTATGATCAAGGAAAAATGTAATATATAATCATGTCAAGCAGTGACCAACATACTTTTCTTTTCGTTTTACTATGATATACAGTTTGTGGTTTACCAAATAAATGTTTAAACTTTCACCATCCTGAACAGAAATAGTTGATGGAATCCTTACCTTTGGGAATAGTAATCTGACAACCTAGGTCGCAGTCCTGCTGCAAATGATAAAAAGCCACTTCCTGTAATCGGGTACGCTCCAACTCTGAAAGGCTTTGAACAGGAACTGACTTCAGCCGAACACTGCGCCCCGACATGCTGTTCCAAGTGAAGTCACCCTACAGGAAATCAATTGAAAAAACATGAAAAATCATATACACAATTTAATGAACATATCCTACTCTTTTATTGGTTAAAAAAAACTAACACAGGTCCCTTCCCTTCAAAATTCACTTCTTGGACAGTCCTGACCTTTGAAATATCACCTTTGTTTTCACAGAATCAATCTATGCAAAAGAAACCCCAAAACAAAACAAAATTTTACCACATCTCTTCTACCTGAAAACATTTACCTAATATTGTTGGAAAAACACTAGTATTCCTAAATAACGGAGAGGGAGGGGAGTAACTGAATTTTCCAAGTTTAGTTCCTTTGTGCATTTGACAGCACTTTGTGTATACTCAGTTTTACACTGAGTATGTGTACAATCAGTTCAACATACAAAGAATTTACTCAACTCTATAGTACACAGTTTATTTTCCACAAGTTGTTGATCCCTTTGTGTGTGTCTGTGCAGAGAATGTACCAACCAAACCCTACCTCTTCCCAACATTTCCCCTCTCCTACTCATACCTAGATTTATGCTCACTGAAAGACAAGTTACTCAACATTTGTCTAAAGAATCCTAAATCTGTGTTAAAGTAAATGTAAGTATGCAACATGAGAGGCTACATATTCAATAAATAATGATTGAATTAGAAAATCTAATCAACAGATTTAGCTATCCTGTGTCCCTATTTTGGTGATATATAAAATATTATTCCATAGGCCAATATTGTATTCTGATACAGTAAGACATTACTTCTGACAATCAATAAGAGTAAAATATATATATTTGCTTCAGGACTAGCCATGGAATTCAAACTAAAATTCACAATGGAAGCAAAGTCTAAGTGGACATTTTAATGGCATTGGCACAGAAAGAATCCCTTGGGCTCTTGAACAAATTCTGGCCAAATTAAAAGTAATGGTTTAGTTGCTTGATCTGAGACTAGATGACCACAATGGTAATTTCTGTCTTTATTTAATACATAAAGGAGAATGTTTGTAAGTTTGTGTGCTAATAACTTGGACACTATGGGTGTGTCTAAACTACATGGCTCCGTCAATGGAGCCATGTAAAGTAGTTTACTCAGTGAAGTCAAAGAAGTGGGGATTTAAATAATCCCCGCTTCATTAAAATATAAATGGCCGCCACGATGTGCCGACAGTCAGCTGATCCGGCACAGCACGGCAGTCTAGATGCGGCGTGGTCGACAAGGGAAGCCATCTGGGGGGGGTCAATTGGGGAGCTGCCAGGATTCAGGAGACCGTACAGGAGAGCTTCCACCCCAAGGAGCCCACGGAGCCACCCCAGTCCTCCCCATCGGAGGATCGTACTCCATTCCTCCCTCACCTCCTTCCACTTACCCCTCCCCAGCCCCCCTTCTTGATGTAAAAAATAAAGGACACGTGTTCAAAAATAGAAACTCTCTTTATTTAACAAAACTGGGGGGAGGGGATTAACCTCTGGGGAGACTGGGAAAAGGAGGGGGGAGAGGGGAAGAGAGAGGGTGGGAGAGAGGAGAGGGACACCTGGGAGGAGGGAGCTGGAAGAGGGAAGCCAGGGGAAAAAGGAGGAGGGGAAGTATAAAACTATGGTACGCCATATCTTCAGTACTGTGTACAGATGTGGTCTCCTCACCTCAAAAGAGATGTTTTGGCCTTGGAAAGGGTTCAGAAAAGGGCAACTAAAATGATTAGGGGTTTGGAACAGGTCCCGTTTGAAGAGAGGCTAAAAAGACTGGGACTTTTCAGCTTAGAAAAGAGGAGACTGAGGGGGGATATGAAAGAGGTCTATAAAATCATGAGTGGTGTGGAGAGGGTGCATAAAGAAAAGTTCTTCATTAGTTCCCATAATAGAAGGACTATAGGACACCAAATGAAATGAATGGGTAGCAGGCTTCAAACTAATAAAAGAAAGGTCTTCTTCACAAACCAAATAGTCAACCTGTGGAATTCCTTGCCACAGGAGGCTGTGAAGGCTAGAACTATAACAGAGTTTAAAGAGAAGTTAGATAAAGTCATGGAGGTTGGGTCCATGGAGTGCTATTAGCTAGGGGGTAGGAACTGTGTCCCTGGCCTCTGTTTGAGGAAGGCTGGAGATGGATGGCACGAGACAAATAGCTTGGTCATTGTCTTCTGTCCATCCCCTCTGGGGTAGCTGGTGTGGGCCGCTGTCGGCAAACAGGCTACTGGGCTAGATGGACATTTGGTCTGACCAAGTACGGCCGTTCTTATGTTCTAAGCTCAGGGCTCAGGGTAGGGGGTTTCACTGGACCACCTTGATTTTCATACAAACCTGCTCCTGGGTGGCCAGGCTGGCAGCTATCCCGCCCTAGAGGGCCACTTTCCAGTGCCTAGTGTGGCGGTCGTGGATGGGGGCCACGATCCCCGCACTAGGC